AAATTTATTATACAGTTAAATTTTAATGATAATATAGTATTTTTGTATTTATTTTTGTTCAGGAGAATTAATTCTGCAATGCATCTTTCACATAATTAGAAAGCTAGCAGAAAAGTAATTTTTAGACAAGAAGGTTATGTGATTCAGCACTCCGTTCTCTGGGTAATGATTAATGGTCCCTATCAAACCGTGCACTTCATGAACATGTGGGTTTCACCAGCAAGATGTCAGCAATTTTAAAACAATATAGATCAATAGCTTAGTTAAAGTAAGGGGAATTTAAAAAAAATTATTGATATTCTATTATTTCTTCAGAATATATATTTTAAAAATGAAAACAAGAAGCTTCTGACTTGCTATAATGATTTATATCACTACAATCTATCTTAGAAAAAAGAACTCGCACAGAAGCTCTTTTAATTCCCCAATATCTGGTTATGCATTGCCTTTTGCTGTGCTGCCAGTCAAAGATATGCCTACCCTTTGCTCGTTGATCTTCTTTTTTTATAACACTAAACTGCTATATTTTAATACAATATCAAACAATGTAAGCATGGTTCTAATTAGTGAAAGGCTGCAGCTACACATAAGCAATAGCTTTTATTTCAATTCAGCAACTGTATCTTTGCACAACAATGTCTTTTCTATCCTGCATCTTTATTTTATACAAGCAAACATGTGTACAAACATGTTATAACTGTCTTACACGCTCTACTGATGGAAACTTCAGAAGTCACCTCTTTTCTAATACTCACTGTTACTTTACATGTCTTTGCATAAACAGTGTTATTCCAGAGGATTTATAAAGATGTATGAAAACAAAACTATACTAGTATAGCTCACTGACTATGTTGCAACTTTATATAAATGGAGTTATCTTATTGGTAGTTGTTCTCTGCTAGATTTTTCCTAACTTTAAACTGAAGAGAAATGAAATCCACACTCCTTTGTCTAAATGATGGCATGTGCCAAGTGTAATTACTTCTATTTCTAGAGCAGGCAGTCTATGTCTACAGAAAGTTTATAAATGTTGAGTTGAAATTGCAGTGTACCATTAAGCCTGTTTTATCAAACAGAAATAGGTCAGAGGACACCTATACCATGCAAGGTATGTTCTGTTTTATGAATGTCAAAGTATGCAACACTGTTATAACATTGACTGTCCCCCTGCTCTGTAGTCAAAGAGTAGATAGAGGTTAATTTGAGAAAGGAAGCTAGAAAAAATTCTGAATTACTGTTGTCAGGGTTTCCATATATTTATGTAGCCCAAGAAACTGCAAGAATGAATCAAAACATTTACATAGAATTGGAGCTGTGGATTACTAGTAAAAAGTTTTATTAGCAAGAATGTGGCTAAAGGGGTTTACAGAGCTTTACCTCTCCTTGAGATGGGCACGTCTCATGCGCACCAAGAAGAATTGCTGACAAAGACCAAAAAAACACAGGGAACCATTTTTATCATCATGAGGACCCTCATGAAGGGAAGTGCAGGGTCCTGCACCTGGGGAGGAATAACCCCATACAGGCTGGGGACCGACCGACCCGCTGGAAGGCAGCTCTGCGGAGAAGGACCTGGGAGTCCTGGTGGACAACAAGTTGACCGTGAGTCAGCAATATGCCCCTGGGGCCAAGAAGGCCAACGGTATCCTGGGCTGCGTTAGGAAGAACATTGCCAGCGCAGGTCGAGGGAGGCGATCCTTCCCCTCTGCTCAGCCCCGGTGAGGCCACACCTGGAGCGCTGTGTCCAGTTCCGGGCTCCCCAGAACAGGAGAGACATGGAGCTGCTGGAGAGAGTCCAGCAAAGGGCTACTAAGATGGTGAAGGGACTGGAGCGTCTCTCACCTATGAGGAAAGGCTGAGAGAGCTGGGCCTCTTCAGCCTGGAGAAGAGAAGACCGAGGGGGGGATCTTTCCGTGTGCATAAATACCTGAAGGGAGAGCGTCAAGAGGATGGCGCCAGACTCTCCTCCGTGGTGCCCAGCGACAGGACGAGAGGGAACGGGCACAAACTGAAACACAGGGAATTCTGTCTGAACATGAGGAAAAGCTTTTTTACTGTGAGGGTGATTGAGCACTGGTACAGGTTACCCAGCGAGGTTGTGGAGTGTCCACCCTTGGAGATATTCAAAAGCCATCTGGACACATTCCTGGGTAATATGCTCTAGGTGACCCAGCTTGAGAAGGGGAATAGGTCCCTTCCAACCTCAACCATCTGTGATTCTGTGATTTATTGGTTAGAAAAGAAAAATAAGATATTTTTCTTAATTTAAGAAGTTTGAATAGCTGATGGAATAGGGGGAGGGGTTGGTAAAAAGGTAAACACAAGTTTTAGTAATAACAATATAGCCATGGTGACATACCAATAAGAGCTGATGAGAGACTGCTGTGAATGGCTTTGTGCTGCCATCAAAAATGGAAAATCTTCATGTACTGAAGAAACATAAGTTAGGAAGTTTCTGAAATATGAATATATAAAGTTGATAAAATATTATCTAGGTTAATTTAAGTTTAATTTAAGTTGGTGAGACGAAAGAACCTCCACTGGGGTGACATTTTTTGTCTTCAGAACGTGCCTACTCAATCACGTATGTTTAAGGGAAGCAAGCTAAAAACAACTATTTTGACACCAGTGGTAGGAAATAAGTTAGGAACAAGCCAAGCCCAAGAAGCAGATGTTGTAAGGGAACCAGTGTCAGCTTTTGAGTCAGACACATCAGGAACCTCCTGAACATGACAAGGTTTTGATGGATTTGGTAAATTTCAGTGGATTTTTCTTGCATGAACTTCTTTACATCTAAATTTTTGAACAAATGCAAGCTTTATAATCCACAACCAGTGTAACTATAAATTGCATAAGAACCAGTTTTATTTCATTTGAACCTGTCTTCTACCAGCTTAGTTTGTTCTTGTGTTGTAGGAGACAACATGGACATCTTCTCCACGTTTTCTGTGCCATTCTGGATTTTATAGACCTTTCTCATGTCATAGTCATCTCTCTTCCAGCATAAAAACTCCTGGCTATCTTCACCATTTGTTATACAAAAGATATTCCAGACTTACAGTCACACCTTCTGCCTTTCTCTGACTCTTTTGAGTTCAACAGAATTTCCAACCACTTTGAGGTGGGAGAAGCAGAACCGTACTTAATATTTAAATACAGGTATGCCATAGATTTATGCAATAGCATACGATACTCTCTTCTGTTACCTAACAACTCTTAACCACACTTTTCTTATCTGATGGATACTGAAGACAGAACTATTGCTTTCATGAAATTATCTATTACCTCACTAAGATCTCGCTCCTGAGGAGTAATGTTCTAATCAGACCCCTCCGGTTCATATTTAAAGCTATTGGGTGTTTTTCCCCATATGCATCTTTTACATACATCTACAATGAATTTCATCTGCCATTTTGAGTCCAGTCACTCAGTCTGGTAAGGACTTTATACATTTCTTCAGTCAGCTTTCACCTTTAATACTGTGAATAATTTAGCATTACTAGCAGGCTTTCTCACTTCATTTATAAGTATGTTATAGCCACAGCAGAGATCCTTGCAAAACTGTACTGCTGTCTCCACCCTTTGAGAAAACTGATAATTTATGCCCACTCTATTTCTTGTCTCTTAAACAATTACTGATCCATGTAATCCCTATTCCATAGGACAATTAGTTTCCTTTGAAACTTTTAGGGAGAGAACTTATCATAAGTCTTTGGAAATCCAAGTAGACTCTATCAGCTGCATCATGTTTGTTGAAGCCTTCAGACATATTCACTAAGTTTCCAAGACAGGACATTGCTATAAGAAAGTCATATTAATTCTTCCCAAATATATCGTACACATTTAAGTGTATGATACTTACACAATCACTCACAACAATTCTCTGTTGTAACTTCTACTAATTCCCAACGTACAAACCTAAGGCTTTTTGGCATGTTAAACCGGCTTTAAAAAAATGGTATCCTTACTCTCTAATCACCAGTTAACAAAATAGCTTGAAGTGAAAGGTTTCACACCACTGACAGTGCTTAACCTTTTTTTTTGTCCTTAAGCTCCTTAAAACTCTGAGTGAATACAATATGGTGTTGGTGACAAGTAAATGTTCATTCGACTGTTTTTCATAATCTCTTTTACTGACACTTTGAGCTAGATCCTCCAATAAGACCCATACAAAGAAAGGTTCTGGCATGGAAACTACCCCAGTTCCTTCTACAGCTAAACTCATTCACTCGTGATGGAACAGAGAAGTTGTTAATAGATAATTTTTGGCTCCTACTGTCTATTCAAACAAACTTCTTTTGTTCCTATTTTTCAAGCAACCCTGCAACTTGTTTATCTGCAATTATTAAAAATTATCAATTGGTTAATTTGGAAGCAAATCAATTATCAATTCAATTACTCTGCAGAAATGATTTATTGTAGTCAATAATTCCTCCATAATATAGTTTGTAGCCAAGCTGATAAGAAGCAACAGCAGTGCTTATAAGAGTGGCATTTATTCAGAAGCAGGTTAGCTTTGGAAATAATATGTTTACTCTCAAGATTAACGGTTTATGGAAATTGCCTAAGTAACACACCAACAAAGGTATATTTATACCATCTTTTGATCCAGAAATTAAAGCTAGAACGTAGTAACGTTTTTGCTGCCTGAAAAGAGTATCTTTGAAAAGCAAAGGTATTCAATTCTCTTTTAGAAATATCTAGTCTATTTTCCTGAGTTCCTGACAACACTGTAGAGTTTTTCACCATGCTAGGCCATGCCTATACATCTCTATTTAATCCATTTTCTCTACAAACAATGAAGTCTCTGGCAGTTTTAATTGACTCAGAGATGTTACACTTCAATTTCCCAAATGTGCCACTCACCCTCAACCGTCTCCTTCCTTAAATGTCAATCTTCCCGAGAGAATGTGCTGTCTCTTTGTTGTTTGTAGTGATACTGCCTTCTAAACTGAAGATTGGGCGGTCACAGTTTGGGAATGGAGGATAAGGTTTCTTACCTGCTGCTTTGGCAACGTCTGCAGTTGAAATGTTTTGAAGGTTTGAGTGCACTCTGAAGGTCACAGCTGGTCCCAGCATGCTAAAAGAGATTATTAAAAATGTAAGACTCATAATCAAGAGACATGGCATAATATTCCTTATCAAAATAGGTTTTTAAGGAGAAACTATTAAGACATCATTTAGCCCTCTTCCCTTTGCTTCATTAGTTACATATGCATACATTTTTATACCTCTTGTGGGTTTTTTGCATATATCTTGTGCCTGAATGATTTCAGAGACATTAACTAAACTTCAGAACACTCCTGTAAATATTATTCCTACTATGAAGATGGCAAAATGGAGGCACAGAAATTAAGTTAGTCACTCAAACATAGCTTAGATTATAACTGGAATTCAGCATCCAGAGACGATTACATGTGCTTTCAAATTTTAGAAGCCTTACATCAATACAAGCTTAGTCCTCTTGTCACGAGTGCAAGTCTATCAATCTTACCTTACAGAGAAACTATAAAGAAGCTGAGAATATTATCTGGATCCTATTATGCAAGAACATAAATGGGGAAAAGATTTTGGACAAATCTGACTCAATGGCTGAAAACTGAACCGATACAGATTTTGTCCAGAAAGACAACACAAAGTATTTATCTTTTAACAACAGAAGCGATCATCTATTTGAACAACTTAAGAAGTGAAGTGATGACCTTTTTGGGTTGAGCCTGATGGCTCTTTATGGCATTAAAATCTATAAGACATTTACAGAGTGAGTTACTAATTAGCAAGATGAAGAATGGCAGAGTATTCAGGGGTTGACAAAAATTTTACACTGTGTATTTTTAAAGAAAAATAAAACCATATAAGTAGTCCTGTATTCAGTTGCCAGTGATCCCAATAATACCAAACTTATATGTACCTGAAAGTAATAAAGTAATAAAGAAATTTAAGTTTTGAGATCCTTAATATCATACTAAAGTACATATATATGGAAAACATATGAAAAATACACACAAACATAGGAAAAGTATTCTTTAAAAAATTTTCCAGGTAATAAGACCTAGCAGAAATTATGTTGTACATTAACAGAAGTGTACAGTGCAAGGCCTGAGCAAACATGAAAATTGGTACCATGATAACAGTTTACTTATATACTATGTATTGTGGGAGTTCCGGGGTTTTGTTATTACTGACATAATCAGTAAGAGTTATAGTTGCACTATGAATAATAACCCTGCTTCAATCACCATTGAAGTACATTACCTGGAACCACACGTGAAACATACTTGGACCTTCTATAGCTGTGGCTTATGAGTGAAGGAAATCTTACAAGTTGCTACATTAAAGAAGTATGTTAAAAAAAATTTTTTTGCAGGGCTTGAAATGCATTTTGTATTTTTGTAATTGAGAGCACTTAATGTTAAGTGTGCTTAATCGAATTGCACGTCTTCTACAGAAATACCTTTAAACTTTTTCCGTTCCAGAGAGAAGAAAATTATTATTGATTACAAGACTTTGCTTAGAGGTGAATCTGAGTAAGACTAAGGAGCTTAATCTTTTACTAACAAGACATACACTGTGCACATTCTATTCCACAGTTAACAGGATCTGTCATTAATCATTCTTTTCTCTAAATACTTAAATACTTTTTTGGGGGTAGGCCAGAGAGAGAAAAGAAAATAGAAAGGTTTTATTGCTAAAGGACACTCCAGATGTTATCATCAATGTGCAGAAAATGTATTTGAATAAATGGTAAGTAGTCATAAAGCATTTATCAGCATCATTTAAATAGTTCTTTATGATATAATACAACCACATAGTATATTTTTTTGAGATACGTTAATTGTTTTACAAAAATTCAGACCATTCACAGAATGGTCTGTGACTAAAGGTGACAGAACCATAAGGCACATAAACCATACCATAAAAGACACAGGGGAGTTTCCTGATACTATGCACTGCATATAATGGAGCTTTACACTGTCTTCCTTTTTTATTGCCAGCCTAAGAGAAATGATGAGTCCTCTTCAGTTACTCTGATGTTTATAGAACAATCAGCAGTGCACTTTAAATAAAAGCAGGCAGCAAGCTAGTACGCAGGGGGCCCACGATAAGGACAACATAAAGAAACAAATTTACACCACGTATTCCATCACAGTCAAGCACCTGAAACCAATGCTAACTTTCAAATATGGTGTAGCTGCACTGCCCTTTGGCTTGATCAGCAAAGACAGCCGAAGTCTCCTCCTGCTCCTTCCCTTGCCTTGGTTTGTGGCCTCTGTCTCTGGGCTAGAGCTCAGTTGCGCCACTATACCACTCACTACGGGTAGGCAGTTAAAGGCATCATATCGATTAAAAACTGGATCATTTCAGTGATCCAACCCAGGCAGCAGGACGTAGGAATTTACGAAAGACTCCTGTCGTTTGAGACTGCCTGGGACTATCACACTGTTCGCTCTCTGGATAATCCAGCAAGGCAACAGGCGACCGAAGCCAGAGGAGACCACGCACGCCCACACGTGCACTGCCACAAGCGCTGTCATTTCAAGGAAAAAAAATCCTTGTGGGATTCTGATGATATTGGTTAATACCCGTTCTTTTCCAGAAGAAATCTAAGAAACTTTTAAGATGCCCACTCATATATTACTATGTGGGATACCGCTTTATTCTACAGTAATAACTGAATATTTGAATTTAAGAAGGATTTACCAGGTGACAACATAAGAATAACTTTGCTAAGAATATTTACAAAATATAGAAAATAAAGCAGTTCTTGTCACAACTTTTCACACATTGGTGTCCTGTTGATTATTTCAATGCAAACAGAAGACCTTGAGATTACTTGGCCAAAATTGCATTTCTGCTAGATGTTTTGGGAACTGACTGCTTCAGGAGCTCATAAAATGAGATTTTTCTCATGAGGGGTTTCTGGCAAAAGCACTCAATAAATAAACATTTCAATAACAATGGGTGGCCTTTGGGGATTCTCTCACTGTTCATCCTGTGTTGGATGAGAACATTTAAACAAAAACAGTAATTATTTGACTGAAAAATATATTTAAAAGGACTTTTAACAAGAGAGTAACCAGTCTGAAAAAAGGTTCTAAGCCAGATAAAACATACGCCTGATACTTAGTGACCACAAACTTTAAATTAGATAGATGAGATTGCTTTTTCATGATGCTGTCAAACCCTCTGAAGCCTAGCTAGTATTAATGGCAATTGTCTTTGCATCCCTCTAAATACTGAAGCTCACTGAATTGCATACTATTGTTTACGACCTGATGAATTGCAAACAGACCGTTCCCACAAATCACTGATGGTTCTGCCAGTTAGCAGGGGCATCCCCCCCTTTGTGGCAGATTACATCACACGAGCGCTCAGTGAGCTGTGCAGACGAAAGCAATCATAAATGCAAAACACAATGCCCCGTCTGAAATTTAAAATAAATCTAATGCATGCAATGGAGTATTCCTCCTGCTATAACACAGAGATTAAACATGTCAGGTAGCAGCACATTTAAAATCTCCAAATGCAACATTTTATGTAAAATTTTAGGTTTAACAATTCTCCCTCCAAGGTGTATACTACTACAATTACATCTATGTAAATTTGTAGGTAACTCCTCTGACAAAAGTGAACTTAGACCCACCTAAGTCAGAGAAGATCATGAGTTTTAAAATTCATGCAGGCTGAATTATTATAATCGCACATATCATTTCCTCATAATACTTTGTTACGCTTTTTGAATAAAGGTAAGCAAATCTGGCTTCAAGGCTAATAAACAGTGACTTCTCCCCGTGCAAAATGTAATGTCTGTTGCAATGACCTGCTAAATTTATTACTTGAAATTTACTGACTAATTACCCCCTCTGTTGGCTGTCAGAACTTCTGCTTTTTTTTTTTTAATTTCAATAATGTTGCCTTCAGCCATAATAGTTTCTTTTAACAAAGACATTCAAAGCATATTGCAAATTGTCACCCTTATGTGCTGTTGTCTTATACGCTGTTTACTAGAGATGAAATAATTACAGTGTTTATACCAAAATGACTTGAAGGTTGATTGCTGATTTAATAATATTCCCCTCCCCATGGGTTTATATTTCCCATCTGAAGGTGGGAGGGTGCACAACATGCACAGAAACAAACAATACTCTTTGTGTAAAATAAAAGTATTTCTTTTCATTAATTGTTTTACAGAATCACAGCATTCTTATTACTTTGTGTCTGTCAACAAATGAACGGTCTGAATAAACAGAGCTGGAGCATGATCAATATGGCAAGGTCCATACAACTTTCAAGCCTTAGGTTATAATTATATTTATGAATGGCAGGATTTAAATCTCCATAAATTATGTATCAAGCTTTGCATGCCTGTTGTTCTCCCTCATGTGTGTCTGCTTTAGTACTACAGTATCATACAGAAGGGTTACTATGAAATACAGTCACAGTCTATCATACCCCCTAGTGGAAAAGGATTTGAGAAACAAGTGCCAACATGGTTATGTTTGTTCTTGAAGACGAGACATAGAACTGATGCCAGATGGAAATGAGTCGAGGTTGCACATTTTTGAAAAATACAGGCAGAGTGCAATTTCTTGGGACTGGAGGAAGACAGGAGGATCAGGATTGGATATTTCCAACATCCAAACATTCTGTTAATGACACTACTTTATAACAAACAGAACTTGTCTTAAGAAAGCTTATATTTGAAATTAGAACCACTACTTGTCTATATGTTCATTTCAAAATCCTTTAATTTCTGGGGGGTTAAGAAAAGCAATTAGTAACGCTCCAGAGAACTGCGCAAAGTAAATTTTATATCAGCAAAGGTAATTGTCTCAGGAAATGTTTGGTGGGCTTGAACTAATGACTTGCAATGCGTACACATTTCTGTGCTTACTGTGTTCAGAAATTTGAACCTAATGTCTGTTGTGAGTGTTGCACTGATATCTCCCTCCTTTCCACCTTCTCAATGCTGGAAAAATTAAAATACACACATTTCTGTAAATGTATTCTGTGTTATATATATTCACATTTATGAATAGTTACGTCAAATCAAATTGACAGAAAAAAATCACATTACTA